CAACAAGGTTTATGTAATACTAGTTTTGACCTAGTATTGGGTTATATACCGGTATGTATGGTATGTATAATTATGTACATGTACATGTACTGTATCAGGGTGAGAAAGAACTTTAAGACGAGTTCGAGCGTACAATAATGTATTGCCATGATTTCTACCTAGCTGCTTTTCATTGAAAACACTATCTGCATGACCTCCGAACCCATTACCATGCAGACCACCAGCACTGATCAGGTGCATGCATTGTACACATGTGTGTAGCCTATATACTCTAAGGCTGTGTTTACATGAAGCGTTTCAACCCGGGTTGAGTTCGACCCGGGTCAGATTTCAACCCGCCATGTGCACAAAGTGAATGGCGCGTTTACATGACGCATTGCGCTTGACCCGGGTTGAAATTTCGCCCCGGGTTGATTTCCCTCCCCCCAAGGGGAGGGTTGAAATCAACCCGGGTCAAGAAAATCGTACAAACGTACTTCAGTGCGTATCTCGCGCCAGGTTTGAACAGCACTGCAGATGCAAATTTCGCGCGAACGGATTCACGTGACCATACAGGACTGTAGAAGTGGACTTTTGGCGGCATATCAGTATTTGACCCGGGTCAACTGTCTTCATGTAAACGCTCACCTCTTTTGTCTATCGTACAGACTTTCAACCCGGGCTGAACTCGACCCGGGTTGAAATTTCTCATGTAAACACAGCCTAACTGTGGTACAATCATGTAGTTATGCTCCTACCTCCGAAAGGATGCCAAATAATTATGCTCCAAATTTTCAACCACCATATTATGCCAATATCCGCCAGTGCCTAAGCGAGATCCAGTTGCGGTTGTCGTTGCGGAGGCACGCCTGCGGAGGCACGCCTGCGGCCCGAGGCATCTGACTAGCTTTAAAAAAAAAAAAACATTTTGAAAGTTGCTTGGACCGGCTGAGTTTCACTTGTTTTATTAGTGTATTATAGTTTAATACTGCACAGTACTGTGCATGCTAGCTACATGTACATCATCATATAAATAACTATTTTTTGGTTTTGCCCGTACAAGAGCCTGATACCGCGTATACCGCTCGTGTAAAAAAAGTATACCGCTCGTGTAAAAAAATTGTCCTCAAATCAATTTACGGATGCACCCGATACCCATCATGTACCATGTACTACTTAGTACGTACGTCATTTTGTTCCGGTTGCAATGAATTGAATGCAACCATCATAATTATACCGGTTTTGTTCTCTTTTTCCTTTGGTGTCTGTTCATACTTTGTGTTAGCAGAGTCTCACCAGCTTCTGGCGTCCAGGTCTGAACGAAATCACCAGTCTTCGCACCTGCATGCCATGCTAGCATGCTGGCATCCCCACTCCAGCTGGCGTCTCCTGTAGCAGCAATGCCTTGCTGTCAGTGTCAACTAACAGTAACAGGGACGTGCCAGAGATGTGCCTGCAAGATTTCTAACAACCCAGTGGCGGACCCAGGAGGGGTTCCAGCCTCCAGGGGTTCCGTGGAACCCCCTAAATTTTGTAAATGTACTACTGGAGACTACATATATACAGAAGCCTTGCTTGGTAGTTAACATGTTTTTCGATTTTGACAGCATGTTACAAGGCGAGGACGCGTAGTGCTCCTGACTACAACCATAAACCGGTTGGCAGAGTCCCGGTCTTGCGACCATTTGAACCGTATTGGGAAAACCCAGGTTCGGACCCTCGTTACTCTACGGGTTGGTAGGATTTTTATAATTTTCGTTTTTTGTGTTGTAGAAGTCGTCGTGTTGCCGCCGTAGTATTGTTCACGTTGCTGCCGCTGCAGGGATCACGGGCCTACCCATGGCCTCGTCGGGACATCACCAACCTCGTCGGCAGCGAGCACCTTCTCACAACAGTCGTCATGGTGATGACTATGACTGTTACCAAGAGTACATAACCCCCAGAGTGTGCAACGCCGATCCAGCTCTGTGTAGGGTCTTGGTCGAGCGGAATCGGATCTTCTGATGTCATGCGTACACTTCACACCAGCGCAAGGCCGGTTTCGAGGCAGGGCACCATTGTTTTTGATCCAAGAGTACCCGCGACTCCCCGGGTTCCCCTCAGATGTGTACGGTATTATGACGCAAAGATCCGATTCCGCTCGACCAAGACCCTATGCAGAGCTGGATCAGGCGTTGCACACTCTGGGGGGTTATGTACTCTTGCTGTTACAGCTGACGAGCTGAGAGAAGGACGCCATGGGCAGAAGTTGAAAAAAGACAAGAAAAAAGAAAAAGAACAAAAGAACAAAAGAAAAAAGAAATAAAAATTACAAATAATTTAATTACAGAGGAAGACAAGAAAATAACATCACAAATCCTTCCAGACGTGATCCCTGCAGCGGCAGCAACGTGAACAATACTACGGCGGCAACACGACGACTTCTACAACACAAAAAACGAAAATTATAAAAATCCTACCAACCCGTAGAGTAACGAGGGTCCGAACCTGGGTTTTCCCAATACGGTTCAAATGGTCGCAAGACCGGGACTCTGCCAACCGGTTTATGGTTGTAGTCAGGAGCACTACGCGTCCTCGCCTTGTAACATGCTGTCAAAATCGAAAAACATGGAGACTACATGTACGTATGTGGATGTACATGTATCAGCTATCCATTTTTGACCAAGTCACCTGGTCACCGTGCCTGCAGGGTACAACTTACTAGCCTGTTTGACCTTTTTTGGGTGCACTCCTGTCACTCGACTTGAACTCGAGTTGAACCTTGGTGTGAAAGTAAGTTGTCGCCTGCTGGCGTGGTGACCAGGTGATTTGGGCAGTGACAATGGGCACCCAGGAGCACGTGACCACTTGTTCAACCATGTTCGATTGGGAATAAAGGAGGAACGCTGCATCGCAGCCTTTTCGGACCAAAACCAGTCGACTCAGCGTCCAAAAGACTACAACATATGAGCCAATCGCGGTCATCCGTGCTTTTATAAGAATGAAATGGCGCTTTTAGTTTTAGTGACATTTTGCATACAGATCCCAATCTAGTAGGGCGCAGTCACCCAGTTTCGGTGGAAGTGCGCGAGTTCGATTGGGATTCAAGTAGGAAGGGAGCGTCTCAGCTTTCTCGGACCACGACCATTCGACTCAGCACCCCGAAGACTACAACTGGTGAAATTTTAATTTTTGCCTTAACGGCCCTTTAAGGGGCCGTCCGTAAATATCGAACTTTTTTCACCAAACGAATTATTTTAGTTTAGACCCAACCCCTCCCTCCCTCCCCCTCAGAACATAAAAAATGTTGACATACATGCATATACAACGGCCATATAGCTAAGGGTCGTCCATAAATATCGAACTTTTTTCACAAAACGAAATAATTTCGTTATGGGGTGGGAGGGGGTTGACCATTTTCGTTTCAGAAAACATTGATCCATGCACATGAATTAGGCAAGTACAGTGCTGGCAACTGAAATCCGACCCCCTGAGCGTTGCGCTCACATCGCAAAGACCTAATACGGGATGGTAAAACTACCGCTAGAAAGTGAACCCACGGCTAAGGGGTCGGATTTCAGTTGCCAGCACTGTACAATCATGTAGTACACAATGATTGATGGCCTTTTTATCACACGCGTGATCACTAGTACTAGTAGTACTAGTACTAGTACTACTAGTACAAGTCTGAAGTCAGACACTAGCAGTACCGGTATCTAGCCATGCTGGAGTCGAAGAGTCGTAGATCTACACCCCACACAACTTGCCTGTCACTTTGTACTGAGTCTGTCTGTACTACTAGTAGACCCAGGTGCTCGAAGTCCGTACATGGTATCCTAAGTTCGTACGCCCATAATTTCATGTTCTGTTATTGTATTCGACTCAAATATTTTATGGAGGGGACAGTGTGGTATGTTCTCCTCGCGTAGCAATTTTCAGGGATCTACGATAAGCAGAAGTCCCATACCACGCGAGTGGGTTTTCGAGTGTCCATACGAAATACAAATTGGGTTACATTTCATGCAAAAAATCAACTTTGCCAAGACCGATTTCGAACGGACACAGCGTCAAACAGACCTTCACTCAATCATCAAGAGCCAGCTTAGAGCTGACAATGACCAGAGGAGAAGAATTTACAGAGAACCACCAATCCTTGCAGAAAGGTTGACACTCCTGGCATCTCCACCACTGTTTTCCCGCGGTTTTCACAGCGCAGCTGCTTCTTATCTGAGCCGACTAAAAGCAGCTTGCATTTCGGCAACAAACTACGCTTTTCCAAGAAATACTGGTGGAGGCACATGCCAAACATATCCCTTCGGTGCTTTCGTCGTAACCGAGGGATTGCAAGTTAGCAATTAGCAGAAATATGTGTGTATTTCGAGTCACCTCTGATCAGTACGGACTTAGAGTACCCTCTGCGACACAAAAATTTGATATGAAAAATCAGCGAACTTCAGAGAAACAGATTGGATCGAAAGATGGCCTGGTTCAATCGAGCCTGGCCTCAGAACAAACTTGGACAATATACCTTCCATCCACGAGCAGGATTCTGGCAAGTGATCATTGCTAGTGTGAGTTTGAGCTCGGCAAACACACACTGTAAAAGTGTACGGACTTCGAGCACCTGGGTCTACTAGTACTAGTACTCAGTACTAGTAGTCATGGTAGTAGTAGTACTAGACTGCCCACTTGCACTGCACCCATGCCCACTCTGACACTCAGATCTTACTACGTGTGTCCGAACGTGATCTTTAGCGCTGAACGTGACTTCTTGCGACGAGTTTCTTCGTCTTTCAGCCTTTCAGGTCTTGGTAGTCATACAGATGAACATAGCAGCCCTTTGGCTTTGAGACTACTACTACAGTCTACACACATCTACACTACAGAACAGGCTAGTTCGATAGGTGAACAGGCTGGCCACTCAATACAAGGACACAATCATACTTCATAATAGACATACTGATTTACTGCAGAGTGCATGCAGTGCAAGATAAAGACTGTAACCTGGTAACAGCTACAGTCGAGAAAGGCGATGAGCTGAGGTGAACGTGACTTTTAGTTTAGAATTCGCGACGTACGTGATCTGGGGCGCGATGCGCTGGCCTGGTGGTATTTACTTCGGACTCAACGTCTACAGGCACGGAGAGAAAGAAGGAAAGATAGAAATGAACTGCAGCGGCTTCGACCATGTCTGTTATTTTCTCTGCTCGATAGCCTCCTGAACGGAGGAGTCTAGTCGACAGGGGTGAATCGGAAAGAAAGGCAATAGTTATGGAGGCGAAGTTACCGGAGAGTGTCAGGATTCCTGCCAGCGCCTGTAGTTCACCCAAAAGGTTCGATGGCAGTGCGGAGCGAGATGCTGAGAGTGAAGGGCCACCGAGAAAGCGCGCACGTTGGGAAGGGGATTTACGGAATAACACAATCGCCAAAGGCGCTTCCTCGTTGGCTCTGCGTGCCCTTGATTTTTCCCTCACGATAGCGCCAAGATGTGAATCCCTTATTGTCCGTAGTGACTCAGATGCTGGTGACCTGAAGGTGGAAGGAGTGGAATCACTAGTGATGACATTGGCTCTACTAGTGCTGAAACAGAGCGACGCGACTCTAACTGCCATCGTGGATGATGTGAAAAGGCCAGCATCGACGCCGCTCGGTTCGGCAACGCGACTGGAATCGACTGGGAATCCTGGAAACGATCCTGCTGGGAGCTCCGTTCCACGCACTCTGACCGTGCAGGCAATGTCGACGGCTACTGCTGCAGCGCAGGCAGCTGTGAACACTACTTTCAACGGCGACCCTGAGTTGATGTGCCGACTGTGCAGCGATTTTCTATGCGCGCCAACCACACTGCACTGTGGTCATACGTTCTGTTCGAAATGTCTGGACCGTCACTGGAGTAAAGAGTTGCCCAATGCCAACAAAGTCTTGTTAGAGCAAGCAGTGGGTGCTCAGCTTGATGGAGGTGTACGAAATCAGGACATGGTGAGCGTGGTGGTGTGCCCTGCATTCGAATGCGACATCCAGTTTCACAGGCCCCATTTCGACACCAACACAAAGCTGTCCGCCTGGCTTGAGGCATGGTTTCCAAAGCTTTCGCGCTGTGTGCAATGTCGCTGGAAAGCCGAGGCCCTGGTGTCTAGAAATCATTATGCTGAAGCTCTTCTGGAACTTGATGAAGGCCTAAAGATCGATCCTAGTCACTATTCCTTACGCAAGCTTCGGGCGCAGGCGCTTGTCCAGCTGGGCAAAATTTCATCAGCAATTGATGATGCCAACCAATGTTGCAAGGATCAGCCGCACCTGGCTGAGGCATTCTCCAGCAGGGCAGCCATTCGGATGGAGTCTGGGCTGTACTCTGATGCTGTCTCCGACTACCTGCGCAGTGCTGGCTTGCAGGGATCATTAGATGATGTCCTGAAGGCCCGGTTGATGACTTGTTTGGAACATCTCATCATCAATCAATGCTGTGCTGAAGACAAGATCTCCATGGGAAAGCTGATTCCTTGCCTGTATGGAGCAGTGGAATCAGCGTTGCAGAAGCTGCCCGCGACGAGCATACCGCAATCCGAGCCCAGTAGTGCTGTTACGAAAACGGATGCGGAACCATCTTCGGACCATGACCCTGACGACTTCACCTGTCCAGTGTGCCTGAACTTGCTCTATCAACCGGTCACGCAGTCGTGTGGCCACATGCTTTGTCGGCCCTGTATCGAGCGTTGTTTTGACAACGAGCTGAATTGTCCGTCGTGCCGTCAGCCCAATCTGTCCACCCACTGGGATGTTTTGCTGGCCACAACCCGTGTTGCGGAGCACTTGCTCATGACCTATGCAAAAGATCAGTACTTGGAAAGGAAAGAGCAGCACGACTCGCTGGTGGCATCGTCCGTGTCCGGAGGTGGACAAGGACTCAAGATGCCGATCTTCATCTGTGTCATGGCCATGCCGTTTGCCAAGATGACGCTCACAATCTACGAGCCGCAGTACCTGCTGATGATACGCCGGTGCTACGAAAGCAGAGAGCGACATTTCGGCATGGTGATCCCGAAGCGCAGCGGCAACATTGAAACACTACAGACACACCGTGGATACCAGGATTGGGGCACGGAACTGATCATCACTGCAATCAAGCATACCAAAAGCAGACAGCTGCTGGTCTCCTTGCGTGCTGGCCGCCGTTTCCGAGTGCTGGATCGAGAAATGAAGGACGGCTACAACATGGCCACTGTCGAGTGGCTTTCCGATACCAAGGAAACCGGTGAGGAAGCAACACGAGTGTTAGACCTTCACAACTCAGTATATGCAACTGCGAAAGCGTTCTTCACAAGTCCGGATGCAGTCAGAACAATGCTCGAGACTATGCTAGGTGCGTTTCCAGAGGTAGCCGGCAGCTTGGAGAGCATTCCGGAGTCTGATGACGGCCCAGCATGGGTTTGGCACTGCTTGCAACACCTGCCGCTCAGCGAAGCCAGAAAAGAGCAAATGTGCCAGAGCACGTCACTGACGGAACGTCTTCGTCTCCTGGCTGCCTATTTCAACGAGAACTCGTCCGACAGTGCCAAGCAGAGCTTTCTCTATTACTTGTACTTGAAACGGAGCGGTCACTGACCGGTACTGCGTGGATGTGCCGGCTGATGCGCTGTCTCAGCATCAGTTACAGTGGACCGCTGCTGCCGAACCCACTCCCCAAGTTGTAGTGGTATTGATAGTATTTACTTGAATTGCATCACCCAACCAACTACTGCTGTTGTTTTCTAGTGTGAACCGTCCACTTGTCATTGGATGTTGAATATTTGCACCCATGCCGCCCTATCATGGATTACTTTGATTGTGCTACGTAAGTTCCAGATGTTGACGGTTGGCATACCGCCTTGAAGAGCAGTCTCTGTTATGGATCTTGGATCATCATCTAGTAGTAGTACTTGAGGTTTTGAGGGTTAGATCTGTATTAAAATTTTATTCTCAATTCGTTAACTTATTATTCAATGCGAATACCAAGCGTCTCCGTCCTTAATATCGTGGTCGATCTCAATCAATTTGGCAGATCTTCATTTCCACGTGATAAATTATGAGTTTTCTACCAGAAATACCTGGACACGCTTCAGTGTATATCGGGTAAACGTGTGCGTGCGCCCGGTTATGCGCGTGCATTCGTGCATGTGAGGTTGGATGAGAGTGCCACGGTACACGTGTAACAAAGCACGGTTAATCATAGGCCAAAAGAAGTTGGAAAGCCGATGCTTTTCCAGCGGGTTTGGCCTGAAAATGGGCAGGATGGGCGGCCCCGAAGGTATCTCCATGCGAGAGTCAGAATGAAGCCATGCCCAACCTTCACGTGTTTAGTTTTGGGGCTCAGAATCTCAGTATTCTGCTGAAGCATTGGCCATGCGGGGCGTCCAAGGGAATGAACCATGCAACATACTTTTATGGAGAAGAAGCGGCTATTGCAGACGAGCCCAATATAATTATCATTCTGGTCTCTGGAAAGCAGAGTTGGTAACGCCAAGAGTACGATAACCCCAAGGTGTTATGGCAACTAGGCCCCGGTGGATAATGGATTAATGCTCGAGAATTTGATGGATTCTGCTTTTCAATATGGTCGCATTCTGCTCCGAAATAGCACTGATAAATGTGATAATGCTTTTTTGTTGAATTCTGCTTTGGAAAAATGGAAATGTGGTATAGATTACTAATGTTGCAGATTGATAACCATGATAACAGCATACATGTAAAGTCATGTTCTACGAAACAGAAAAATTACAAGAAGCACAACTTGAAATTAGTATTACTTCGCAGGCGAAGGTGCGGTAGTAGTCGCGACGGCCCCCCATATTTTGCAACAATATGCTAGTTTTCTGCAAAATTTGCCGCGCAGTGCTAGTTTCTAGAATATGCTACAAATGACTATGTAGACCTAGGGTGCGTTTGGTTGGTACGATCTAGAACAGGATCGAACAGCTGGTGCACATGGAGCAGCCTCATGCCAACCAAACGGTACTCCAGAAACAGAGCACATTTTTGTGGCAAAATGTGCCAAACTTGGTGCAATCTTCAAAATGTGTATGGGTCACCATGGTCACTTTGTACGGTACGACGAGTCCAACCCAAAATCGTATGCACGTGATCATTTGGGACCAAAATCGATGTTCCCGCCAGGTTTCACTGTGAAAAAGTGAAACTGCTCGGTCTCCGGCCTCGAGGCCGGAGCAAGCAGAACATGTTCTGGCCGACCCAGAACAGGTGCAGTCCCAACCAAACGCGCTGTTCTGGTGAATCCTGTTCTAGTTCGTACCAACCAAACGCGCCCCTACACAGTACATGATAAAAATGAGCCGTCAGATGCGAAGATGCCGTTATCATGGTTATGGGAAACACTGCACAGACAGTACATACACTGATACAGTGCAGAAAAATGCAGTTGAAAGTTGGCGAGTTTACGCACTGGTGCGCCTGGACAACCAAGCTACAAACCTTCGTATTTCAGTCAAATATCGGTCTTTCGGGACAATCCCAGTATGTAAATCGAAGAGAAAACTCCAAGGAATCCAATGCAGCAAGTCAGTGCGATCGCGGCACGATGCTGCGTTGAGGGCAGGGAGTAGTAAAATACAGGGAGATGACACGCCACTAATCGTGATTTTTGATGGGTGCCTCGCGCTTGTTTTTTTTTCTTTCGCAAAAAAAGATGATCTGCTGAATCAATTTGAGTATTTGTCGAAGAACTAATTCCGTGAAAAGGTCTATCCATCTCATGGAACAGCATTTGTTTTGCTCTTGTGATACATCTGTGTCATCGTCATATGGAAAGGTACCACCCTTCCGAAAATCGTCCCGATCGACGGCATGGAGCAATAGAAGGAAGGTGATTTCCTTGAGAACAATACGTGTACGATTGGAGACGAAAAGCGAGTGCACAGATTTTTGAAGTCGAAAAAATCTCTAGGACACCACACGATCGCCCCTAATTTCTCCTCAGTTGTGATCAACCAGTACTTCTCTACCTTCTTTGTGATGATGAGCATTTCATATTATGGTATGCTAGAGATTCGGGAGTTCACTTTTCGGAATGAAATGTTCCCAAGTTTGTCAAGGATTGAAATGCGGGCTACGTCGTCGTAAACAGCTTGTATCGACACAGGAAAAATCTACGGCGCGCAGGGATATCTCGCAAAGTGATACCACTCTTGCTGGACTAGACGCTGCGTCGTGGCGCAGAATGTGCACAGCTTTTCACGGAGCATCTGATGACCTCTGCGATTCACTGGCCAGTTGTGCCCGCCGCATCGCCTCGTCCTATGTTGACCCCACAGCATTGGAAGCTTTCTTGGCCAGCCGCCTCATACCACTAGATAAACAACCGGGTGTCAGACCGATTGGGATCGGAGAAGTGGCCCGTCGCATCATCGGGAAAGCCATCCTACGATGCGCCTCATCTTCAATACAAAAGTCAGCTGGCTGCCTACAGCTATGTGCGGGTCAAGAGTGTGGCATAGAAGCAGCAATACATGCTATGCAAACAGCATTTCAGGAAGACGAGGCGGAAGGCGTTCTGTTTGCAGATGCGTCAAACGCATTTAACTCCCTTAACCGTGCTGTCTCACTGCACAATATCCAGCACACCTGCCCCACCATTGCTCCGGCACTGATCAACAGCTACCGCAGCCCGACTCGGCTGTTTGTGGATGGTGAATGTCTCCTGTCTTGTGAAGGCACCACGCAGGGAGATCCACTAGCCATGGCTATGTATGCCCTGGCAACCGTTCCTCTCATCCAGGAAGTGTCTCAGAGCGGAGCACTCCAGTCGTGGTATGCAGACGACTCCACTGCCGCTTCCACCATTCGAAAGCTGCATCACTGGTGGCTACTGCTTAAGCAACGAGGCCCAGCATATGGGTACTTCCCCAATGATGCCAAGTCGGTTCTTGTTGTGAAGCCGGAGCATCTTCAGGAAGCAGAATCCCTGTTTGCTGACACGGCAGTCCAGATTCGCACGGATGGCTGGCGGCATCTCGGTGCGGTACTTGGGTCTCCCGAATTCTGCAAGCAATATGTCACAGAGAAGGTAGAGACATGGGCGCTAGAGGTTGGACGACTGGCTGACTTCGCCACCACTCAGCCACAAGCGGCATATGCTGCTTTTATTCATGGCCTCCGCCACAAGTGGTCGTTTGTGGCCCGGACGGTCCCAGGCATCAGCGGACTGCTAGACCCGCTGGAGCACTCCATCCGACAGCGGTTCATCCCTGCTCTAACCAGTCGCCCCGCACCTGGTGACGAAGAGCGCGCCATACTGTCCCTCCCGTGTCGAGAAGGTGGTCTTGGTCTCATTGACCCGAGGTCTTTGACGGACCAATACAATATGTCTGTCGCTGTCACCAACATCCTCGTGAGCCGGATACTGGACCAAGATACCAACATGGACGAAGTGCCCACCACCATCCATGCTGCCAAGCTAACTGCAGCAGCAGCAACCAGGAGAGCCGCTCGAGACCAAGCCAGTCAGCTCTTGGCCACATGTGATGCGCCCACCCAGCGAACCCTGAGGATGGCGGCCGAGAAAGGAGCGTCCAACTGGCTCACTTGCCGGCCCCTGAAGCAGTTCGGGTTTGTCCTCCACAAAGGCGCCTTCAGAGACGCACTCTGTCTGCGGTTCGGCTGGGTCCCTCCCCGCCTGCCATCCACTTGTGTGTGTGGCAAGGCATTTAACACCAGCCATGCTCTTTCGTGCCCAACTGGTGGATACCCGGCTCTCCGCCATAACACGATCCGCGACCTGACAGCCGACCTACTGCGTGAAGTGGCAACGGATGTGAAGATAGAACCTCCTCTGCAGCCCCTGGAGGGTGAAAGGCTCCGGTATCGCTCTGCCATCTTGGAAGATGGTGCTCGTCTTGATGTGGCGGCATCTGGTGTCTGGGGAAGTCGTTTTGAGCGCACGTTCTGTGATGTTCGGGTTTTTAACCCTCATGCGCGCTCGAACACTTCCTCAACTCCCGCGTCCACCTATGCCAAGCACGAACAGCAGAAGAGAAGGGCCTACGAAGAACGCGTCAGGGAGGTGGAGCATGCTTCCTTTCTCCCACTGGTATTCAGTGCATCTGGTGGGTGCGGCAAGGTAGCCCACGCTTTCCTGAAGCGTCTTGGCCATATGGTTTCGGAGAAGCGGCATGAACCCTACTCCTCCGTCATGTCCTGGATCCGCTCTCTTGTCTCCTTTGCTTTGGTTAGATCCTGCAACATGAGCCTCCGTGGTCACCGTGCTTCTCCCTACCGCAGTCGTTTGGATGCTGCCACTCCTGTTGTGCTGGCAGTCAACGACTGTCAGTTGCGTGACTGAGACTCTTGCGGAGTAGCCGTGTCTAGCCACACTTTTTATTATCCGATGATCTTGTTTTGTTTGCTATGACTCCGTGATTTTCTGTTGGTTGCTTTTCTGCTGTGCGAATAAATGCAGTGTCGACAGTTGTTAAAAAAAAAAAAAAAAAAAAAAAAAAAAAAAAACTCTTGCTGGACTTCTATCCTGACATAGTGGTAGTTTGGTCGACTACCAAACTTTGTGAAGGCAGACAATTGTTGGAAATTCTCAGCGCTGAGTTTCTACGGGCTGCAGTAGGAGTCTCTTTGGCGGTAGGTATTTTACTACTCCCTGATCGAGAGAATCCTGATCCGCGCGCGTGTCTACACACTTCGGTACCCATAGTACCCCAATCTCACCCGCCGGGTGAAAACGGTGCTGAGGCAATCGTCAAACTGGCCGTACATGCTCGTGTCACCTCCCTGTATTTTACTACTCCCTGGTTGAGGGCGTTCCCCAGCGCAGCTAGCTACGAAGCCTGCAAGATACGTCACGGCACTTGCATTTCTAGTTCTACGTGCAAATCAGAGAGTACTGTATTCATGGTGGTATTGACCATGTTGACTATTGTGCTACTCCCTGGTGCAAATCAAACGATCCAGACCAGGGGTTTCCCCCTTTTCAAGCAACCTACAATCTCCGCAGCACTGCCAACAGGCTAACTCCATCGGCCAAGTCTCAAAATCGAAAGACTTAGTCAAGTAGTTAGTGGTGATGCAGTGAGCTTCCAAGTAAACGCGACCATACCC